CTTCGGCGAGAATCGGTCACAACTGTGCTTCATGTAGTACTACGAGAATATCACGGTGACGAATTCTCAAGTACTGATCGCTGCGGCTGCTATCTGTTGCGCTCAGTATCATCAATCCTCATACTATATGTCAATCTTCAATTGCGATGTGTTTTGCGCTCCTCTTCGCAGCCCACGCTTCCTCTGCAAGCCGCAACCACGACAAGCCACGTGCTCTTCAGCCCATCGGTCCCAACCGTCGCCCGATGCCGCACATTCGTTCTTCTCCTGCAGCTCCTTCCGCCGACGCTCTTCGGCGAGGCTCAGGGCCCGCCAGTTGGGGTATTGAGGTCGCCCTCACGGTGTCGCAGGCCCTGGCTCTGTGCACGCACTTCTACAAGCCCCCGCAGAGCCTCCCGCTGTGCGGCGTCGGCTTGGGCCGCTGCATGGCGTCCGCCACACCCCCAGCAGAAAGCAAGCCCGGCTCAGATGTACGCTTACTTGTGCACAGCGCGAGCAGCTTGAGCGCGCTGGCGCGCGTATGCGAGGCGGCACCCACGAAAAGGAGCCCGTACCTGTGGATCCCTCGGTGCAAATTGGTCCAGCAAGATCTGCCGATCCAAAACAGGGTGCCGTACATCCAAGGGGTGAAGTGTACATACTATATAATACCGCACGGCGGTCAGTACACGAGAGGTACCCGCTTCCTAAACAAAACCCTCGCATCAGGGCACGGCAGAACAGCCATCGCAGCGTGCACATCAGCCGGACGAACGCCGTCCGCCATCCTGACGTCGTAATTGAGGACCAAATACGCCATCATCGCTTTGAGCTCGCTTGAAGCGATGTGGCGTCCCGGGCTGCGGACCGTCAGCGACGCGGCAGGTAGAACGTGACGAGGACTCGCCAAGCCTGCTTTCCGTGCCCAAAGGCGAGGTAGTCCGCGGACGTCGTCGCAAACTGCCGCCTCTGGGACGACCGGCCCTCCTCCTTCTCGCAGGAGTGGCGGAAGGGATCAAATGTGTCGGGGTCGCTGTAGTTGGCGGGGTCCAGGTGTGTCGCGGCGGCAGGGGCGGCGATGAGAGTCCCCCTCGGGATGTGGGTGCCGCAGGAGAGGGTGAGCGGCTGCATGACCTTGCGCAGCATCGCCACTGACGTGTGGGTGTGCTCAGCACGCCGCTGGGAGAGCACTGGTAGGGGGCTCACCGGTGATGACGCCGGTTACTCGCTGGCTTTCGCGCATGAAGCCATCGAGTTTGCCCATCTTGCCAATCGCGGCCTTCGTCCAACCCTCGTCTGCGATGACTCTTTCGACCTCCTCGCGTAGCGGGATGAGGTACTCTGGCGCAGACGCGAGGTGGTATAAAGCATGCGTAAAACTCTGGGAAGGATGAACGATTACATTCCGCGAGTGGCATGGCCAAGCACGCACGTTAGACGACGTATCAATGGCAACATAGTTCACGAGCAGGAGCCTTTGCGCAATCTCGTACGGCCCTTGGCCCCTTTTCTCGATCTCCTCGATCAGCGACTGCAGGAGGTCGTTCTCCAGCACGAGTGAGGACACCGCGAGCGCACACATGGATGTACTCACCGGCCGATCCCGCCAGTCCTTTCCGTGTTTCGCCATCTCAGCCATGCGCGCGGCGACGACGGGCCCGATGAGCCGCAGGCAGTCCGCCGCTCGGCTGTGCCTGTCGGCTACGTGTTTCCCCACCGCCGGCCGCAGGAACCGCGGAATCCAGGTGAGGATGTTCCGGGTCTTGCGGACGTCGTGCACGAGGTCCAGCGTGAGCTTGAGATAGTCTTCGTTGCGGCCTGTAGATCCATCAGTGCCACATCCTCGGCGGGGACACTGCATGTAAAGCAGGGACGCACAGAGCGGCAGGCCCACGAACATACGGCCCGTGGCGCGCGCGACCACCTGCCGCATGGTGGCGTGGGCAGGGAGGGACACCCATCCTGTGCATACAGCCATGAGATGGTCACTGGCGTCCACGGGAGGGACGCAGCCCACCGTTTGTGTCAGCGGGTACCGCGTCACCGAACGCGGCCTCGATCTCATCACACATGCCCGCGAACAGAGTCGCGGCGCCGCGGGTGAGCCTGTCTCGGATCACCGCCACGTGGTACGGGTCTCTGAGGACCTCGTTTCCGAACACGAAGACGGACCCGATGAACTGCGGATCCATGAGCGACGCGCGCGCGCGGCGCGGGAGCAGGCGCGCCCACCTCTGCTGACGCATGTGCAAACGAGACCTTGTCGGGCGGCATCCTCTGCACTTCGTCGACGAGCGTCGAGCCGGTGATCACCACGAGCCAGCGGTCGATGAGCGGGACTCTGAAGACGCCTCCTTTGTGCTGGTGCAAACATGATTCAGCCCCTTGGCGACGGCGGGGAGGCGTGTCGTTACCTTGTCGTATCCCCTCTGGAGAACTTCAGCGGTGTTGTGGAGGAAGTGATACGCTCCAGCGAAAGACAGAATTGGCAGCGCAGATCCGCCTTCTGTGGGTATGTGACGGAGCTTTTCAGAGAAGGGTTAGAGGGTTGTGCTGATTAAGAACGACGTGGCTAACCTTGAAGCCTTCGCTCAGAAATATCATGCATAGAGCGAAAACAATGGGTCCGAAATAAGAGACATTCAGAGTGGGTGTCATCAGTGGTTGGCCCTCACTCGCGTTCGAAACGACCGTCGCAAACTTGTAGCACTTGGAGAAAGAAGCGGATAAGAAGTTGAGCATCGCAGTAGACGGCCGCGGACGTGTTCCGCCCACTGACCTCGGGAGCGGGGGCTCATATATGAGCTAGAGTCCTTGGACATCAACGTTGTCCAATCCGCGTCATTTCCACCTATATCACCTTGTCGCCACCTGTATGTAAAGTCAGGGACGTCAGAGTATTATCCCCGCAGCCGGTCCGCATCTATTGGCGACTTATTCAACAGGGAGTAGGCGCGAGAAGGAACGGGTAGGTTGAGCGAGGGAGAAAAGGTGCTGCCTAGTGATACCAGCATCGGTGCGCTGTGCCGCTGGGCGCACCATCAGCGAATGTTCGCCAACAACCCTTGAGGCTTCGACACCTTGAAATCTCACATCAGATTGCGCACCTCTCAAGACGACGGTGTGCACAAGCCACGTCCATCACAGACCCAGATCTAGTAGCTGGTACCGCAGTGGCGACTGTGCTAGCGAGATCGTTTTAGTTAATCGCGTGGTAGTTAGAAGTGAACACTCACCATATCGCCATTAGACCGCTCGAGCCGGGACAGCGGGGCTAAATGTCAACGGAGGTATCGCGACAAGAACGGCCCGGGATGTGTGCGCGTGTGTTTAATGGTCTTCGCTCTTCACATGCAAATGACGCTTCCCTCTTTGAAATACGAAGACCGTCAAGAGCTTCAGCTATCGCTTCATCTTTGCGATCCGATCTCGTGGTCGAAGTTCGTACCAGGATGCCGTCATGCCGCTTTCTGTTTGGTCGTGTTAAGATCCGAAGCTGCCGCCTTCCAAACCGAGCGCTAGATGCTTCTTTGCCACATATCACTTCGACCATTCCCTCTGCCCGCTTAAAACGCCGTTGCACGTTCTCGTCACTGTTTTGTGCGCCTCCTCATTTTGATTATACTAGCTGTACGACTCTGCAATCAATCACCCGCTGTCTTCCCGTCTTCCCGCCGGAACCCGACTTCTAGGCTAGATGTTCAGTCAACCTTACTGCAGGGGTGCACAAGCTCGGTTCGAAGGTGCGTCATTCCAACACACTCGTTGCAAAACTTTCCGCGTCCAAATCGCCGTCTCAGGCATAGGGCGCAATGCATCCCTACGGTCTTCAAATGCTTCGTCTTCGTGTACGATGCTGGCTATCGAGGCGAGCTAGAAGCCACACAAATTCATTATTCAGGTGGGATTCGCCTTCTCGGATGTCATTATCAGGCTCAGCAAGGACCCTCCTCACGGTGTTTCATTGCGCTTCAAGGATTACCTGGGCCCATGAAGACGTACACTTGCACTCACGCACAGCAGCCGACGCGCGAGCTGATATGGCTTCATTGCGCGGTGGTGTGCTCGACGTGTAGCGCGCCGCTCTTACCGTGGCTTCTCAGCTGAGTGCTGCAATCTAGCACTCGCAGCGTGTCACTAAGTCAATGGAGAAGCCTGAGCTCGGCAAGAGTCCGGGCCTACCCCGTCTAGCAGGCATCGCATGGGCGTCGAGGATGTCCTCTCTCAGACACAACCTGTTACATGTCTGATACGCCCTGACACGCTTGCCTCTGTTTTAGTTCCGTCGCGCCGCCCGCGGTGAATCGCGCAGGCCTCTTTGGCAGTGCGCGCCTCGTTCCTCTCGGCGGCGTGGAGAACACCTCGGAACATCAACCTCCGCTGGGTATGGGTACATGTTCTCCCTGGAAGAACGAGTGCTTCTCTGATAGATGCCCCCACAGTCGCCTCTTCGCCTCGTAAACGGAAGCCTCGCTGCGGGCTGGTTGCCGGCATAATGACAAGCTTTCAAAGCACACGCCACCTTCCTGCGTGGGGTCACAGGTCCCTACCCGGATTCTCTCTCGCCCGTTTCGCCCGCGCTGCCCTCTCCCAGCACCCTCACATCCCGCCTGCAGATAAGTCCCTCCCGCCCCCGGGCCAATGCCGAACGCGGCGTCCGAGAAATGATACCGCAGGGTGTATGCTTCGAAGTTCGCATATGGCCTTCAAATACGTACTTACTCAGCGTGAAGTTTTGATCTTAGTCCTACTTGTGCCACAGGGAAACTTGAGGCGGTTTTATTTGGATCTCTGCATGTACTACTCAATATACCATGTCAGTAAGATGCTGTACCGTGAATTGTGTGTACCCAATAGTCTGGCAGGTTTGGGTTCACCACTGTCGCAAATCCACGACATGCTGAGGGTACAGACTTCACACTTAGCGGATTGTGTTCTGTATTTGAGACACATATCAAGACGCAAAAGGGAGTATGATGATGGGTATATACACTGATTTGCACTACCTTTCCTTTGTGCAGACTCAGGTGGCTTAGTAGGTTAGAGCGTGACTTTACGCGATTTCGCGATTGTTGAGGGCGTAGGTTCAATCCCTACCCTGGGTTTGCATCAAATTTTACGCTGCTGTTACTTAGGTACAGAAATGCATGCTCAACTTTCATAGTACTCATCGCTGACAGCACTCTTCCTCCGACGATACCTGTCACCTAGCCAGGATACGAGCTGCGATATGAAACGATTGGCAACATCCTGAGCGATTTCAATGTTCCACTGTCCGACATTTGTCTCTCCTAAGTTCTGGATGTGTATAGCGTCTGGTCGTGCAGCGAGAGCCCGCGAGTAAATGTGACGCGCACTATGGTCAAGGTGCTTATGTCAGCGCATGCACTAGTTGGGTCTACTGCGTACGCGTTCTGGCATCGTTATGTCTCCACCACCACCCCCCGCGCGAACCCCCATGCCCGGCTGTGCCCACAATCGCGGATCCCCCAGACGCTTCTCCTCGCCGTGCAGCTGGGCAGGCATCGACCGTCGTCCACCGAATTTGTAGTGCTGCCAACGTCCACGCGCGAACAGGCACGGTTCTGCCGACCCACGACAAACATGGCCGTGCGGTCGTCCGTCTCCGTTCGCCCGTGCGGCATGACCGGTCGCCATTCAGTTGCTGCGAGCGACACCACCTTTGCAATCGTCGATAGCAATAATACACAGCACTTCACGGATAGCGATAAGTTACAGCATGCGCGATAGCATACAAGACAGATGGATAGCATACACCACGATAGACCTGAGTACATGATCCCATGCAAAGAGCGTGTCACACGCCTTTTCCGTCGCCCAACGATCGTCCTCACAGTCGAGACCCTTAGAGCTTGGCAGCGTTGGCGGCAGACAGGACCTGACCAGCGGCCTTGGCGCGCTTGCGGAGCATCTGCGCGGACTTGTTGCCACGGATGCCTCCACCCCACTGCCGGCGCTGCTCGTCGTACTTGTCCGAGCTACCGCGCACGTCAGAACACACATCAACAGCGGAATAATACAGGGCACATACAAGTTGGCCTTGGCGGCGCTGACGAGCGTTGCGAGCTCGCGCTGGTCCTCGCTGCGGACGTCCTGGAGGGTGACGACGGCCGCGGTCTTCTTGTGGACGACCGTGCCGAGACGGGCCTTGCCCTTGACGATGACGTACGGAACACCCATCTTGCGGCAGAGCGCGGGGAGGAAGATGACGAGCTCGATGGGGTCGACGTCGTGGGCGATGACGACCAGCGACGCCTTCTTGGCCTCTACGAGGGCAACGCAGTGGTTCAAGCCGTACTTGACGAAAAGGGGCTTCTTGGAGTCCTATGGCGTATTGTCAGACTACACTTCTCATCCATGTCGTATGGATCCCACCTTGGCCTGGGCCTCCTTCTCCTCAGCGGTGGCCTTTGCGACGGCCTCGAGACGAGCCTTCTTCTCCTGCTTGGTCTCGGGACGGTACTTGTTGAGGAGCTTGAACAGCTGGGTAGCAGTGTTCTTGTCCAAGGTGTGGGAGAACTGCGCAATGGCCGGGGGGACCTTGAGGCGCTGGTTCAGGATGACCTTCTGGCGCTGCAGGCGAACGTATTCAGGCCACTTGACGAAGCGAGTCAAGTCGGTCTCGGGACGGATGTCCTGACCTACACGGCATGTCAAATCGCAATCACAGAGCGCGACGGTAGAGATGCGTACCGATGCCGAAGTTCTTGGGGCGGGCCTCGAAGAGAGGGTTCTTGGTGGTCTTGCCGGACTTGCTGGCAAAGGGCGCAGCAGCGGGCTTCTTTCCGGTCTTGGTGGCCTTCGGCTGGTCATTGAGACGAATATCAGCGATATGAACAATGGCAATGAAGCCGCCGTCACGTCGGTGTACTCGGAGCTCTAACGCTCGCAGCCCGCCGTCGAGACGACAGACGAGTGCGAGCCCAGCAATGACTCGGACGCTTCATCGTCCCTGCGGGACTCAGCGGACGAGGTGCATTGTGCTGACATGGATGTTCAGCGGGTCACGAGCTGGAGTATCGCGTTAGCAGCCTTCAGAGTGTCATCCTGGCGAAAGACGTACCATCCACCCTCGTAACGAACGAATCCGCCAAACATCCACGGTCATAGAGCTCCTGCACACCTCTACGGCGCCGACAGGGTTTTATACTCACCATTTTGGTGGAGGTCTTGAGGTCTTGAGGGCGTGGGCGGTGATGAGCAAGACGAAATTCGTGCGGACGTATGGGAGGCGCTTAGGCTTCCACGTGGTGTAAGCGCCGCGCCCCAACTCTCAACTCAAACTAGTACTCTCTTAAACTCGCCAAAGTCTTTATACATACTCTATTCGAACGATGCTTGAGTGTGTAAACTCTTTGCACGAAACATTTGGCAGCCACATAGGCATCGGGCTTTTGACAGCGGCTCAACATATTTTGCGTGGGCGAGGACGTCGAAGCACCGCCGTCGGACATTGCAGGTGAGTGGCTCTCCAGCATGCGAAGAGAATGACCGTCTGACCTATTTCTTCCCCTGCAAACACTTCATTTCCTGAGCATAGACCACACTCGTCATCACAAACTACGTGGGATGTGCAGTTCGCTGGGCAGTGACCGGTGAGCTTTGCGGTGAGCCTGCACCTCACTTTGCGATTGAAATCAGGTCCCCCGTCGGCATGCACTAGGACCGGAAACGTTGCGGACCGGCAAGTCCTTAAATTAATTGCGTCGTTGCAAGCGGCGTTGTTATACGCTACGTCCGTGCACTAGTCGCATGCCTACGCGTTGCACGCCACATGTAAGGCCTGCTTGTTACCTCTAATTATGCGTCGGCTAATAGTATCGTCTTTGGCAACGTACAGGTCCTGTCAGGCAGACCATGATTTCGTCGTCTGGACGGCTCCTGGCCAGCCAGTGATATCGTGGCGGTATTGATGCGCCATCACTGATGAATGTCTATCCCGGCTGGCGGTGTAGGTCTTGATGCAAAGTGCTGTTTCAGCTGACGGTACGTGTATGCCTCGCCCCTTTGGCCTGTGCAGCGCCGTCTGATGTAAGACCTTCACCCTGATTTATATAAGAAGGCGCACTGTCGCCTATTCTAGGTCCTCTTCCTCCTCGTCCAGGCCGACGAACGACTTTGACGTTTCTTCTTCACGTAGCTTATTTTACGACTTCCCTTCTTAATTCCTGAAGCGGCCGGTCCACTTCTGCTCTTGTGTCGCATTTGCTTTCGAAGACTCCGCACCCACTTTCTTTATCTTCAACGTCTCTTAATTTTAACGACTCTCCCAACACATACGATGTTCAACAGAACTGTCACGGCCACCGCCACCACTGCTCGCAGACAGAATGTCCCCCGTGCCCTCCAGCTGCCTCAGGCTCAGAGACTATCCGGCGTGTCCCCTCAATCTCCTCTGAAGGATGGGATGATTGTACAAATCGGAACTAGGTGAGCTTCCTGCATGGTATTCGCCTTTATGCGCTTCGCACTAACCATGTACTCAAGGGCCTTGGCGACTCCGGCCTCACCTTCGCTGTTCTTTACCGCGTCCACTCCCATCGTCGTGAGCCCAACGAGGCGCATGGCCACGCTCGCCCAGTGCATCAACTCGAGCATGCCCGCCGAGATCGTATACCCGTCCCTCGGGCAAGTAGCCACCGCCGCCCAGCACATCTCCACCTTCCTCGACCTCTACCGCGTGCGCGCCGAGGACGAAGCCCAGCTGAAAAAGGTGAAGTCGCCCACCTCGTACGACGGCTCCAACACGTTCGCCGCGCTCGAAGACATCACCGATCCACGGGAGTCGCGGATCACGGCGCCGAGGCGGCGCGGCACCGTGCGCCGGAGCCGCTCGCTGAGCGACCTCCAGCGCGGGATCGCGATCACGACCGACGTCGTGCACCGCGCAGGGCGCGCGGCGACCCTCGAGGAGCCGCGCCGCGCCGACTCGCCGCTCGTGTCCGCGCAGCGCACGATCGTGTCCGCCGACGCGCAGCGCATGGCCGAGTTCCGCNCGAGCTCCAGCTCGCGTCCCTCCCCCCGCCCAACGCCCCGCTCCCCTCGCCGCCCCCGCCCTCCGCGCTCCTCCGCGTCAAGTCGCCCCTCCCGCCGACCCTCGTCGTCCACGCGGCGCCCAAGCCTGCCGCGTACGCTGCGCTTGCGCGCCCCGACGGCCATGCGCCCCTCAAGTCGCCTCGGGCCCCGTACTGGGTCAAGAGCGCCAGTGCCATGGCTCCGCCGAAGACACCACGCACGTTGAGGAGCGAGCGCAGGCAGGGATGGGGCGGTGCTTGGCCTATGGGCAGCATCGGCCAAGTTGTGGGTCAGATGGAGAACTGAGGTTGTGCTGCGCTGGTGTTGGAGGGTTTATGGTGCATGTAGTTTGCTGTAGGGCTGCGCTTTATGTCAGGCAGAGTATCAGGTTGATGGTACGTCGGGTCCTCTTGAATGCTCTGGAGTGACTCGCTTGAAGAGCTACCTGGGCTGTGGCGTCAATCGGCGTTGTTGAAGCCATAAAGTTCGCAGCGAGTCGACTACGTTCCCGATAGTGTCTTCCTCGGACAACTTGAGATCTTCAGTTCACAACAATGATGTGTCTCAAATGCAGAACACAATCCGCTAGGCGTGAAGTCTGTACGCTCATCATGTTGTGGATTTGCGACAGTGGTCAACCCAAACTTGCCGGACTATTGAGTACACACAAATCACAGTACGGCATCTTCCTGAGGCTAACCCACGCAGGGGCGCACCTCGCGTCATCGCCCACGACGTCGACCCCATCGAGCTCGTCATCTTCCTCCCCGCGCTCTGCCGCAAGATGGGCGTCCCGTACGTCATCGTCAATGTCTTGTATGCTATCGCGCATGCTGTAACTTATCGCTATCCGTGAACTGCTGTGTATAATTGCTATCGACGATTGCTGCCGCTCCGTACACCCGAAGAGCCGCTGTGAACTGAACGGCGACTGGTGCCACGCGGGCGGGCGGAGACCCACGACCGGACGGCCATGTTTGCCGTGGACAGCTCCCAGTCGGGCGCATGTGGTGCCGCCCACGACCTCCACCCTGTGTTCGCAGGCCGTACAGTAAGCACGCGTGCGTGT